TCTGAGGTTTGAATCCTGATTTTGTTTCAAACTTTATTTATACAGCACAGCAATGACATTAAGAACAAAATCAGGATTCAGAGTGCTTCACTGATTGGTTCCATCAGAGCAGCTCAAAGTGCAGCAATAGCTGAGAGGTCAGAGGTCGTGTGGTTGGTGTGGTGTTCAGGTCCGACCGACCTTCAACCCCTGTGGGCTTCACACCCAAAGCTTTCCTAAAAGATGTGAAGGTCACATGACCTCTGACCTGTTGGCACACATGTACTGACCTACTTACCTCTTTGAGCCTGGAAGAGACCAAAGCTCTTTCTGCATTTTGAACTTTGACCTTTACGTCTCTTTAAACGTTGGCGACACACTTTCTTTTTCTTTGTGTTGATGTGTTGTTGCTTGCGTGTTTCAGAGTGCGTGCACTGGGCACAGCAGCGGTTGACATGTGTCAGGTGGCGACGGGCGGTGCCGACGCCTACTATCACATCGGGATGCACTGCTGGGACATCGCCGCCTCCGCCATCATTGTCCGGGAAGCTGGAGGCGTTGTCAGAGACACCGACGGTCTGTATCTGCCGCATGATGTCGCGTCACCTTTTAGCTGCGAGGCGTTGTCTAATTGGTCCGTGTGTCCTCAGGCTCAGAGTTTGACATGATGTCCCGAAGAGTCATCGCCGCCAGCTCCGCCGCCGTAGCCAGTCGCATCGCTCAGGTGATCCGGCCGTTCCCCTGTAGCCGTGACGATGATGACCAACACAGGTGTGTGTGTGGGGCGACCGGTGTGAACAGACTGTAGGTCAGCTGACAGGAAGTGTGCTGCTGCAGTGATTAGTGACACTTCTGTGATCAATGAACCAATAAAAATCTGCGTGCAAACGTTCCTGTTTCTGATTGGTGAGCTTCAACCTCCTGAACACATGACTGATTTAAACAAGTGTGAGCTCTCATGACCATGGTGATGTCAGACTTGATCAGGCCGATCATCAGACTGAAGGCGGAGCTTACGACGGGCGGCGAAAGCCGTCGTTAACAGGAAGTCTTTATGGAAAGTGTGTTTATCAAAATGATGCTAACATCAGACTGAGATCTCGGTGGGAAGCACATCGCTGTGAGTTTTATGCAGCGTCTGAACGCTGCATCCACATCAGAAAACATCTGCCCCGGGAATGTGATCCAGCTGTTCACATCCTGCAGGCCACAGAAACGTGAGGAGAACGCCGCTGTTATGCTGCAGTGTCTCCGCCTTCCCCTCGCCAGTTTAAACCCTGCTCCATCTGTGACGGTGTTTTCATGGGGCCTCTCCAGGTTTCTCTAAAACAGACGCGCAGTAGTTTCTGTAGGTGATGCAGAGACTTCTGAGTCTTTCGAGGCACTCCAGGTTTGATGTTGACAGTTCAGTGAAAGCAGCAGAGGCTGCAGTAACAGGACACACAGATTACAATATCTGACTAAATATCATCAGTGATTGTTCTTCTTCATTGCCCTCCTCTTCCTCCTGTGCCTCGCTGTCCACTGTCGATGCACCTGTGCACTCTGAACTGGCTCTTATCCTGATCACCTGTTGCTAACAAACGAATACGCTTCATTCACTGTTTCACAGTTTAAGCAGGATGCCTGTAATC